GCGGAAGGAGTTGCGCGCGGACGCGCTGACATGGCGCGCGCACGAGCGCGATACTGGTTGTTTGGCTGCGGCACGCACTGCAAGGCAAGCTGGGGCATCGCACGCGCACTCTACTTCTTCGAGGCGCGCGGCTTCGGCAGCTTGTTGGGCGCGGCTGCGGCCTTGGCCGGCGACTCGTCGGCCAACTGATGATTTTTCTGGCAACTCAGGGCTCATTAGGTTCCTTATGAAGTCTAGAGTCATTCTACGCTATGATGTCTCGAGAAATTATGCTCGGATTTTAAAATTACTCGCTTCTAAAAAAACAAGCCGATCTAGGGTTTTAGTTCTCCGAACAACCAAACTCATTTTAAGCCGAAACTTTATGCATAAACTCATCACTATATATCATGATTTTAAATCTACAAACCTCAACTATATCTCATTATTTCAAATATCTAGAAATTTACCGATTAAAGGCCAAAGTCCCGATTTTGGAACCATATCAAACGACTTCCAACAATCCTCAAATTTAATGCACATTCTCACCAACATGTTTAAGATTTTTAGGCAAAATATCTCGACAAGATCAGATTCATAACTCATCTAACATAAAATAGCCATTTGAGATCTAGATCTACAATTCTAGTTCATATAGCAATTGAACACCAAAAATTTTTAAATATAGGTTGCGTTTGTTTAATAGCTTTTTGGCTGTAAAAGTTCTTTTTCAGCTCTTTAGCTGTTTGACTATATACAATCCGCTAAAAAATTGGTAAACTTTTATAGATGGCGTTTTTGGTCCAATCTGTCAAAATGAAAAACGCTGCTTTTTGCAACGTTTTGACTTAGCTATTCAACATAAAAAATTTAAAAGTCTTAATTTCCCCACTCATTATTACAGTAACAGATAAATTAGACAACTCTTCCTACATCTCAAAATTTCACGAAAAAAAAAATTAATAAAAATCATGATACTTTTTTATTCAAACTCATGTAAATAATATTTAGTTTTTCAAAATTATAATTGATGCAATATAAGAGATATATTTAACTATATAAATTTCATTCTTTTTTATTCAAACCCATGTAAATAATATTTTTAGTTTTTCAAAATTATAATTGATGTAATATAAGAGATATATTTAACTATATAAATTTCATTCCAACTAATTATAGTATAACTTAACAACTAATTTTACTAACTATTTCTCAATTGTAATGAGGTATATTGCAATTGACTCATACTTAGATTTTCTAAATAGTAAAACTTGTTATTAGCTTTGTTTATATGATGCGATCTTATTTAATCAACGAAAAAATATTTTATTTTGTTATTATTTATATTTTTCTATATTTTAAACCACTTTAATAAATATTTAAAATATTAATTATTTTTATTTCTTAAATAATTATAAATTCAACATAAATAAGAATGATAAAATTATGATGACGTTTGTATTAATAATTTTACATGTTAACAACTAATTTAAAATAGCTAATTTGTCAAACATTTTTTTACAAACCGCTAACACAGTCATCTAGTCAAAACAGCTAATTCAATCTGCTTGTCGAAGCAATTAATGCAATCAACCAATAACTATCAGCTAACCGTTGAATACCAAACAAGGCCTTAATCCTCAGCCGCAAGACAATATTATAGGATTTTGGCAATTTAAATCACATTTTTATCACATGCTCATCTCAAGATCTAAAAATCAACCACTTAACATCATAAAATTTAGATCTCACATTCTTACTTCATTTTTAATGATTTTATATTTTTAAAATACTTTATAATTTATATTTAAGCAATTGGAGGGGTTTTAGCTGATCTACCTTCTTCGGGACTTAGATCGGAAAATAGAAAGTGGCTAGGGCATGGCTAGAGGCGCAGGCGCTGGATCTGGCATCTGGCGCGCGTGCGGGTCGCTGGGCATCTGGATCTAGGCCTTGGGAGCTGTTGGGCCTCAGATTTGGATAGATCTGGGCGCTGGCTAGCGCTGGGAGCCGCATGCAGGCGCTGGGAATCTGTTGGGCGTGCTGGGCGCGGCAAGGGCGTGCGTCCTGGGCGAAGTTGCGGACTACGGACAGAGGTTGGACGCTGGGATGAGCTATGGATGGCTGGACATCTCGGAGGCGTATCTGTTGAGATGGCCAGATAACATGTTAATATATTCACCGCTTATTAACTACGAATATTTACAAAGCAATTCTATCATTAAACAGAAAAGGTCACTATTACATGTCTCAATTTCAATTTTTCTTGTTTTTTATTCTGCTTTAAGTAATTTTCTTGATATTTAAAAACAACACTAAACGAAATCACATACCATTTCAGCCACACCAATGACCATTCAATTTACAAAAAAGTTACAACAATTATGAACTTGGACCCATTCACCACCATAACTTAAAATTTAACTCCAACTACATCATCAAT